CAAACAAACAAACAACAAATTCTCTCCTACAAAAAAAAAACTAAAAACCTTGAGCTTGATTTTATGTCATTGTGCGTGCGTTTGTTTGGTTTGAAGGTAAAATGAGAGAGAGAGAAAATTATATCGAACGCGTTTGTTTTTCATTTTAAAACAATTATCGTTATTTTTTTTAAAGGACATTTTTTTTTTTAAATAACGATCGAATTTATTGATCCGTATTGATTTATCATTAATAAAAAAAAAAAAAACGAGAATAATAAAGTTTAAAAAAATCATTCCGAGAAATTTTTTATTTATTTCAAGTTTTATTTTATTATCAAAATGTAAGAAATTTATATCGGTCATGTTTTTAAATAAATAATATTTAAATTTAAATTTCGTGTCGTCTGCTATGACCTATTACGTTATAATCATCACCTGAGTTTAAAAATAAAATGACGGTTATTTTTAAAAATATTTTTTTTTTCATGTTTATTTTTAGTGTGTATGTAAATTGCACAATCCGGATATTATATCGTCATTCATTCATTCATTCATTCATTCATTTCAAATGGGATATTTAAACCACCTACGATATAATTATTATTATTATTATTTTATTCATCGGTATTATTAATAATAATAAAACTTTCATTTGAATTTAATTTTTATGCGTTTTTTGTTTTATTTTTATTTTTCAAATGTAATAAAGGTATTTTTACTTTTTTTTTTTTATTTATTTCTATTCGTTAATAAATAAATAAATTGATGACGATTTTAAGTTGTCTTCCTCCGCCCCCGCCCCCTTTCCCCCCACGTAAGTATTTAAATAACCCACGTTTACATTTTTCTCGTAGGTTTTCCGACAAATTTTCCTCATATTTTTTTTTCTTGGTTTTTTATTTTCGGCTTTGATTTTTTTTTTTTAATTAGTTTAAACGCCATTTAGGTCCTTATCACCTTATCATTTGTAAAATTCAGTGTCGTAACCAGGATTTGTAATATTTTTCCCATTTTTAAAACAAATACGCGTAAAAAAAAAGAAGCAAAACGAATTAATTAATTTTTTCTTTTTCTTTTTTAGCAAACACGTTTAATTAAAAACCTCTCGGCAGTGGTGGGATGGGAAGGGGAGGAGGTAGGGGGAAATCTGACGAAAGGAAATCCCCTTTAATTTCCGGTGAAAATATAAACATCGTAATTATTAAATAATTTTTTTTTTTTTTTTAATGAAAGAAATCACGCCGTTATTTCATTCATGTTTTTTTTTCGATTTTAAAAAATACACTTAATTATACGCTACATGATGACATTAACAATTATTATTATTATTATTATCGAAAGGAAATATTAATTATTATTATTATTATTATTTTAACTCTTTTAAACATTTTTCCTTCTTGTACGGGTTATTATAATAAAGACGTAAATGTCGTGGGTGTTGTTTACAAACAAATAATTATAACGATACTACGTTTACGTTTCATGTTTTATTTTAAAATAATAATAATAATAATAATTATTATTATTATTTGTTTTTTTTCGATTACGTCACAAGCAGTTGAAAAATTTATAGTAAAAATAATTATTAAAATTATTAATCGCTCGATAATATTAAAACTTTTTCCGAGATGATGATGATGATGACGTCTCCGTGAAATTTTTTTTTTTTAACCAAAAAAATAAAAGAATAATGATAATTATTAATTTATTATTTAAAAAAGTTTTACTGGAAATGAAAACAAACTTTATTATTATTATTATTATTATTATTAATTAATTAAATTAAAATTCTCGTTAAGGTTCGGTTACTTTTTAATTTTTTAATTTTTTTTTGGATTGAAAACCAGTTTTATTTTAACTTACTTTACAATTAATTTCATAAAATTTAAAAAAGTGCGTAAATACGCACGCACATTACTACGCATTCCCCTTAAAGTTTTAATAAGTAATAATAATAATAATAATAATACTTTTTTTTGAATTTTATTTCATAAATTTAAACTCTTAGAAAATTTTGTTTTATTATAAAAATTTTTAAACAATAAAATTTTGAAACCTTTTTCGTTACATACATAAATGAAAAAGGTTAAAAAAAAAAAAAACAAACGGAAGTTAATAAAGTATCGAACTCGAAATAATAATAATAGTAATAATAATAATAATAATAATGTTGTTTAAAGAATTTATTTCGAAACAAAACGAATTTGTTATTTCCGGGAAATGATAGAAAAATAATAATAATTATTATAGAAAACATGTATTATTTTACATATCGATCGTTACGTACTGATAAATAATGAAATTATTATTATTATTATTACTACTACTACTGTTACGGGATTTTAACAAGTTTTTAAAG